AGCGATACGCCTACTCCTGTATCAATCAAGCACGGTTCCCTGTCCTCCTTTACCCTAATAACGCCCCGTTTGGTAGCCCGTATCACGGCGTTAGTTGCAAAACATCCGGAAAAACAGGAGTAATTGAAGTGTTATCATGTACAGGCGTTCGGGGACGAGGTCATTGATTCTACCAGTGGTCAAGCCACACTTATAGCACCTGCTCATACTACGCGTCAGAGGTATTCACCGGCTCCTTGTGCATGCTAATCTGACGCGAAGCGTCACAGTGTAAATTTGTGTTGCGTATTTCAAGGCGAAACCCGTCTAACTCCAATAGTTAGTTAGAAAGTATCTGGTTTAACGTACCTAATTAACTTGGTGAACAAAAGAATGTCGGTTGTTTGTGGGATAAGTACATCCAGATCAGTCATTTAGACATGGCGGCGATATTAAAATTATGGTGGCAAAAACAATAAGGATTATGTTCTCTTATTTGAACAATTAGCGCAAATCATGCCACTCTATACAACGAAACTCACCTGATAACATCCAGCGTACCATCGACCTTCAGGTTCCAGACGGACGGCCCCTCCAACAGCATCCACCTTCAGGTCATTCATTACGCGGATCATGCGGTCGATGTCCGTGTGGTAGGTGAAATCCACCATATTACGCCCGACCAGCACATACTTTGTACGAACAAACCGGTTGAGCTGAAGCCAAGCGGAGCCATCCTCCTTTGGTACTCGTTGTATGATAACGGATGGTACTTTCTTACATGAATGTAGCGGATGACCAAAATTTCCCACCGCAAGATTTATGTTGACTTTTGGATAGACATTTTTAATTCGTTCAACCAAGTATAAACCTGCATCGCAAGATTCCGCATAAAGCAGTATTTCTACCAAATTCTCCAGAGGGATCCGGTCACAAGGTTTCGTCTTAAACACGTTGTCTGCGATATCTCCTCCTGGAACAGGCCTGCCACCGGTCCAGTATTCTTCGCAAACTTCGGGCTTTTCGTTCCCAATTGATGTTACGTGGCCAACATCTTCCTCGCCTTGTACGCCCAACAATTTCAGAATGTGCTCAAGCGACAAACGAGTCTCTCCGGAGCGTGCTGAGCGATATGCCCTATGGACGTCCTTTCTTATTAAATGGAGTAGTGTGTGACACGATTTTTCCGTTCGTTCGCTGGAACTAGAATGGAAACCTAGGCCTGAGTTTTGAAGTTTCCAGATCCTACCAAGAAAACATAACACACACAACATATAAAACATCGTTTCGATGTAAATATTTCACCTACAATTTGACTGCCAGCCATCTATCGTGCGGGTTCAAACCTGTGGTTTCCTGA